TAATAATACAATTTTAAAAAATAATAAAAAAACAAAATTTCGTTACTTTAGAATTACATCTATCTGACATTTTTTTTTGCCGTTTTAAGTCACTACGACCACAACGTCAGAAAGTCTGTCTGCTATATCAAAATCTTAAGATTATTCGGAGTCGTCATCAAGACGTTCAAGGAATTGAATTCGAAAAAAACTTGATATATTGTGAAACTCAAACTTTTTTACGTCAACTTATGTCTCTTAATTAAGTACTGAGAAGATAGAACTTGTAAGGTAACAATTAGTACGGGACATATCCCTGCTGAACAGCAAGCTCGTGGGTGGTTGAAGGGCGCCACCGGTAGGTCTTACGTCTTTTCTTTCTTTGTCTTGTTTCTGTGTCTTATTATTTTCCCGGCACTAATTTGCCATTATCGTGTCGATGGGCTTCTCTTTACTTTATCAAACAAAGACAGCAAGCTCTATGCGCTTCAAAATGTTTTAGTATGAGTTTTAGTTTAGATTAATTTTAGTAGAGGTTTTACGGTGCTCACAACTGCATAAGGTCATACGAACGCCAGAAGATTAGAGGTGTTACAAGAGAGTAACAGACATAAAAAAGAAGAAGGGGAGATAAGGACGATAGATGTTTGACAGAAAAAAAAAATGAGCAAAACACACCAGAGCACTTGCAATACCTTAAGGTCATTATATTATAAGCTCCTACGAATAGAGGTGTTACATCGAGAGAGTAACATACAACGTGAAGAAGGTTAAATTTAGTTTTAATAAAAGTTTTACGGCAGTTGGGATACGAAAAAGTCAAATAAGAACAGAAGACTACAGGGTGACTCACAAAGAAAAGAAGGAGAGTTACGAACGATAGATGGCTGATGGGAAATAAGGAACAAACCATACCAGAACACCTATCAACCGCCCGACGCTTATCTCAAATCGTGCCTGCACTTTCAATCTTCGAATTAAAAAAATAAAGCAACGGATATGAGGCAAATTCTCATTTCATGTTCTGTGCAAATAACTGACAAAGTAATTATCTTCGGGGGTGAATGCGCTGGCCCTGAATGTTGAGTTTTGGATAAGGTCTTCTTGCCCTTTTCTTTTGACCTACTTTTTTTCTTTTTTCCTCTTTTTGTTTCTTTTTCTAGGTCTATCTGTCTATCCAGATGTTTACAACCCCACCCAACTGCTACTTTTTTGTCTCACTCTCTCAATCCTTCTCTTCTTGATAATTTTTTTCTCCTCTTTATGTCGACCAAATCTGCCTGCCTGCCTGCCTGTCTGCCTGCTTGTCTGTCCGTCTGTTTGTCTCTCGTTCTCTCTCTCTCTCTCTCTTTCTCTCTCTCTCTCTCTCTCTCTCTCTCTCTCTCTCTCTTCCACTTCCAATTTCTACCTCGTATTTTCTTTTTCACTTTCTTTTTGCCTCGATCTGAATTTCTTTGCCTGCGTGCTCTTCTGCAATATTTGCCGTGTCAAGATTCAAATAGCGAAACATAGTTTGTGAAATCGGATGCTCGTCCAAATATTTTTGGTTTTATTGATTTTACTTCATTTTTCTCACCACCTTCAATGTCCAATAAAATAATCTGTGTCCACCATTTTTCAAAACTCTGACTCTTGGCGACCCCCCATCTCCTTCAACAGCAAATACTTCCTCTTCTATTCAAGACAGATGGGTATTTTCTGAATCAAAAGCAAGAAAAAAGAAGGATTTTTTAGGGTGATACCTGTATCCCCATATGCCCCCAGAATAGACGAACCATCTGGTTTCTCCGTGTCTTGGCACGATTTATTTCTTCTGCCGTAGTCCTAATATCTTGACTTTTGTGTTGTTGTGGCCAGGAATTCGAAATAAAATCCAACAGCTTAGAATAAAAGAGTCCAGAACTCCCCCCCCCCCTCCACTCCATTCAAGAAAATCCAAAAGAAAGGACTCCTCCCCCCCTAAAAAAAAGCAAAACAAAACAAGACCCAAGCAAAGCAAAGCAAAACAGAGCATAATAAGACGGAAACAACAACAGTAACATCAACAACAACATCAAACACAGCAAAAACATTAACGACACCAGCACTACCACCACCACCACCAAAAACAACATATCCAAACGACAAATCCCAACAACAACAACCACCCTCACCCAAAAAAAACCAACAACCCCCCCCCCCCCAAATCAACCCCTCCTAACAACAACAACAACAGCAAAAACAACAGCAACAACAACAACAACAACAACAACCAACAAACAAACAAACAAAAAGCAGACAAACCCTCCCCTCCCCCCAAACAAAAAACAACCAACAAACCCCTTAACCCAACACAAACATGGTGACATTCCCTCACTTGAAAGACTCCGACTCGGGGATACACTCCTCGGGCATGAGCATACCCAGCTGCACCGTCTCTTTGCCCACGTCCACATTCTTGGCCACCGACTTCATGAAGTCCATTGTCTTTTTCGTGTTCTTCTTCCCAGCGCTGGCGCTGTCCATGACAAACATCATGTCTGCTTCCTGCCGGGTGCCACACGCTGAACACACAAATGTATACAAAATATAATTATGATTAGTTTAGTTTTAGTAGAAGTTTTACGGAGCTCGCAACAGCAAAAGGTCATATTATGAGCGTTAAAATATATGTTTAGTTTAGTTTTAGTAGAAGTTTTACAGAGCTCGCAACAGCATACGGTCATATTATGAGTGCTAAAATATATGTTTGGTTTTAGTAGGGGTTCTACGGTGCTCGCAACGGCATAAGGTCATATTATGAGCGCTAAAATATATGTTTAGTTTGGTTTTAGTAGAGGTTCTACGGAGCTCGCAACAGCATAAGGTCATATTATGAGCGCTAAAATATATGTTTAGTTTAGTTTTAGTAGAAGTTTTACAGAGCTCGCAACAGCATAAGGTCATATTATGAGCGCTAAAATATATGTTTAGTTTGGTTTTTAGTAGAGGTTCTACGGCGCTCGCAACGGCATA